GGGAAGAGAAGATGAGAGAAAACCCTGTATACTTAGGGAAGAGAAGATGAGAGAAAACCCTGTATACTTAGGGAAGAGAAGATGAGAGAAAACCCTGTATACTTAGGGAAGAGAAGATGAGAGAAAATCAATAAGAGAAGAAATTGAGTCTTTGCCGCAAACTCTTATTTTCTAATCCCTATATCTTTGAAACCCAATGTCGTACACCATAGATTTTTTAAACTATGAATTCTGTTAAAGTAAATAATTTATAAGTTTGAAATATCATGTATACTTTATCAGGTTTCAATGATATAAAGATTAGAAAAATCGGGTTTGTGGCAAAATTTCTTGATCTTACTTTATCAGTGTATAATTTGTTCTTGAATTCTCCTGATAGAGTTAGGCCTGGTTTAGCACTGCTGGAGTAGCGGTATATATACCTAGGTATATATATTTCTAAAGCGCATCTAGGTTTACAGCATAGTACATCCAGAATACAGGGGCGTTCTGCTTAAATGCTTATTCTTTCATGGGGCCCATTGGCGATTTAGAATTCCTCCCATGCAGTTGACTGGTAGTTACGAATGAATATAAAAAATATAAATAAAGATATATTTACCAATGAACTTTTACACGGTAGACATTTCGTGCTGTTGTTGTCGTATATATCAATACAATGAAGACGACTTTAGATTTAAATTTTGATATATATATATCAAGCTTTCAAACAGCTTCGATGAACATAATTATGAAATCAAAGCTGCCAATTAACAGCCTCTCTTTGTTTACTTGTAAAGGAATTGATTATTTGCCACAAACTTGGATTTTAAAGGCCCTATATATATGTTAACCAATGTCGTAGACCTGTGATATATCAAATAATCTAAAGTTTGAAATATCAAAGGTTTACACCATCAGATTACAAAGACTAAAGGATTTTAAATTTGAGGTTGTGGTAAAAACTCAATTACTTTGTTATGTAAAAAGAAATCTTGTTAGAAATCAAAACTTGAATAAAATCTTTAAGTAGTCTTTATTGTAGTCATAAAAACGAGGACCACTGTATTGTAGGTGGGGGCAGACTATCAGGACTACTTGATGAATAACTAAAAATTGTTTCAACAATCAGCATATACAATATGTGGCTAAACCATGACATCGAGAAATACGGAAATATAAAGGGTTACCCACAAAGGATGAGACTTCAGAGACTACTATACGAAATTTAGACGAGTATTTTTCCTAATTTTCATGATTTCAGGCAGCTATTAGATTGTTTCTTACTTTTTGGAATCTAAAAACATGTCTTTACAAAGACTAAATACAATTTAATCTTGAGATCGTCATATTTTAGAAATTTCAGGTAGTCTTTACAGTATCATCATTTGTGGTTAACCGGACCCTGTTTACACGGTATAAAAAAGGAAATATAGACACATTTGGCACTTTGCGGAAATATTTCACAAAATCGTTCGTCCAATCGTTCATCTGTACAGCTGTTGTAAGTATAGTACAATGGTGAGCGATTATAACAATACTAAGAAGACGACTTTCGATTTCAATTTTGATTTATATCAAGCTTTTTAACAGCTTGGATACTGCACATAAACAGATATAAAGAGAAACTGCCGATTACATGAAAACTTCTCTTTGATTATACTTGTAAACTTGTAATTGAAAAAAAGCTTGTGAACAATCAAAACAAAAGAAAAAAGTCGTCTTCATATTGATATAATCGCCTATCACGGTATATAAAGAATCCTAAGCCCCAACACAAGAAGTTTATATATTGAAATCGCTCTCTCAAAAAAAGGCGTATTGCGCCCCTGGCCAATCAGATGCCGCATACCTCCCCCCCCCTCTGAAAAGAGTGCCCTGAAAAAAAACGATATTTTAGCAACCTAAAATAATTCCCCCAAATGCCCCGGCAATTAAGAAATAGTCAATACATATAATATTTAATAAAACGGCCATATTCAATAAAGTTGCATGCCCTTTTTTTCAAAAACGAAAGTTTTTCCAAAAACGACCGTTTTCATAAAGTTCGTCGTTTCGTTAACGATCGTTAATATAATTGTCAATAAATTTGTTTTTCAAAAACGATCGTTTTTTCAAAAGCGATATTTTTTTTAAACAATCGTTAATCGTTTTCTTAAAGTTCAAAACAATCGTTTTTTCCGAAAACGAAACGATCGTTTTTGAAAACGATTGAAAACGAAACAAAGAAACGATCGTTTAACGATCGTTTTCAAAAACGATTAACAACCCTAGACTCACGTTACTTCTTTATAAGAGGAATCACTTCAATAGTAAATTAAACTGCGTGTACGTTTAAAGGTCTAACTTCTAAAGAAGTCATAAAACGTGGAAATTCAGTGTATTAATCAGTAAGTTTAACGGATTTTATCGTCTGTTTTATGGAAAAATGGTCATATCATTAATAATTTAGTTGATATGCTTAAGTATTGTCTAAGTTGATTGTCTTTCATAAAAACAATTTATTTAATGGAATTTGGTCAATATTCATTCATTTAATATTAAAAAGGAAACACAGAAAGGAAACAAAACAATATGTGAAATGATTTGACTTCAGAATTTTCTTTTATTTCTATTTCTACAAATTTATTGTAGCCATGGCTGATTATGTTTGTTTTTAAACGATATTTTTTTCGATTATTCGTTTTTAGATTTGTTTTTCTTCAAAACTTCCCATTTTCCGTTGTAAGTGTCATTTGTCCTACACATCATTTGTCCTACACATCATTTGTCCTACATATCATTTGTCCTACACATCATTTGTCCTACATATCATTTGTCCTACACATCATTTGTCCTACATATCATTTGTCCTACACATCATTTATCCTACACATCATTTGTTCTACAGAGAGGAGATAAATATCTTTTTCCTAAACTTCATTTGTCCTATACATCATTTGTCTTACACATAATTTGTTCTACACCTCATTTGTCCTAATCATCATTTGTACTATACATCATTTGTCTTACACATCATCTTACACCTCATTTGTCCTACACATCATTTGTCCTACACATCATTTGTCTTACTCATCATTTGTCTTACACATAATTTGTCCTACACATCATTTGTCCTACACATCATTTGTCCCATACATTATTGGTCCTACACATTATTTGTCCCTCACATCATTAGTCCTAACATTATTTGTCCTACACATCATTAGTCCTAACATTATTTGTCCCACACATCATTAGTCCTACACCTCATTTGTCTTACTCATCATTTGTCTTTCACATAATTTGTCCTACACATCATTTTCCCCACTTATCATTTGTCCTACACATCATTAGTCCTAACATTATTTGTCCCACACATCATTAGTCTTTCACATAATTTGCCCTACACAGCATTTTTCCCACTTATCATTTGTCCTAACATTATTTGTCCAACAGAGAGGGGATAAAATGATTTGTCCAACAATTAATACCATCGATTGTTCTATTATAGTAATGTTTAAAAAGTTTAATTTAATTTCTTTTAGTACCCTATTCCTGCTGGGGGGGTGTCAATTTACCCCCCCCCCTGTAGTTGTTTTTTCATAACTCAAAAAGTATTGGTCTGAGGCTGTTGAAATTTTCTGACTTTTCCTAAATACCCATAGCCCTGTCTTCAGTCCTAAAAGTGGGCTTTTATACAAACTGCCTGAATCCTCAGGCAAACTGTCTGAATGACTACTTTTTTCTGTAACAAACTAAATCTTAGTTTTGACCCACTTTTAGTTGTCAAATTTAGATAACTTTTAGCTTTTTGGAAAGCCTATAAAATAAGGCAACGAAATGCACAAGTTTTTCAATATTTTTGTAATAAAATATTATTTTTTCACTTGATTTATATTCTCCATTTTTTTCGAATCTCTTAAATCAAAATCTACACAAATGTTAAGACCCCAAAACGGAAACTCGGGAGTTTCGTTCAACGATACTCTTTTAAATTTCGGGCTCAGCAGGGATAGGGTTTATATGCTAAAATATTTGCTGTCATACTCATCTCGCCTTAGTTTGGGTTAGTTCGGATTCAGACAATTGGGCCGAGTGCTTGGATGAGCTAGGAGACCACGCTGGGAATCTTGAATGTTAGTGAGCTGTCTCTAAAAAAAATCACTCGTTTGTCGTACTTTTTGACCCATCTGTCGTTTGAGTTTTAACCCTTAGTAAATATATTTACCTATTAAGTATAAAAAGAATGTAACAGATATATATGTGGGACACATGATTTGTTTCCGCTCTGTAGGACAAATGATGTATATGACTAATGAGGTGTAGGAAAAATGATGTGTAGGACAAATGAGAAGTAGGACAAATGATTTGATGGAAAAATGAGGTGTAGGACAATGGAGGTGTAGGACAATGGAGGTGTAGGACAATGGAGGTGTAGGACAATGGAGGTGTAGGACAAATGAGGTGTAGGACAAATGATGTAAACGACAAATGAGGTGTAGGACAAATGATGTAAACGACAAATGAGGTGTAGGACAAATGATGTAAACGACAAATGAGGTGTAGGACAAATGATGTAAACGACAAATGAGGTGTAGGACAAATGATGTAAACGACAAATGAGGTGTAGGACAAATGATGTAAACGACAAATGAGGTGTAGGACAAATGATGTAAACGACAAATGAGGTGTAGGACAAATGATGTAAACGACAAATGAGGTGTAGGACAAATGATGTAAACGACAAATGAGGTGTAGGACAAATGATGTAAACGACAAATGAGGTGTAGGACAAATGATGTAAACGACAAATGAGGTGTAGGACAAATGATGTAAACGACAAATGAGGTGTAGGACAAATGATGTAAACGACAAATGAGGTGTAGGACAAATGAGGTGTAGGACAAATGAGGTGTAGGACAAATGAATGTAGGACTAATGACATAGTGCTTCCCATTTTGCTCTCTAAACGAAACTATTTATTTTCAAAACGGAAAACGATTTAAAATAATAGTTTTGAAAAAATCTTTTTTTAAAAATTTTCTTTTTCGTTTTAAAACGTAAAACTTAAATTTTTTTACTTTTAAACACGAAAAACTGAGAGAAAAAAATCCTATTTTGTTTCAAAACGTAAAACTGAGAGAAAAAAATCCTATTTTGTTTCAAAACGTAAAACTGAAGAAAAAAATCCTATTTTGTTTCAAAACGTAAAACTGAAGAAAAAAATCCTATTTTGTTTCAAAACGTAAAACTGAAGAAAAAAATCCTATTTTGTTTCAAAACGTAAAACTGAAGAAAAAAATCCTATTTTGTTTCAAAACGTAAAACTGAAGAAAAAAATCCTATTTTGTTTCAAAACGTAAAACTGAAGAAAAAAATCCTATTTTGTTTCAAAACGTAAAACTGAAGAAAAAAATCCTATTTTGTTTCAAAACGTAAAACTGAAGAAAAAAATCC